GGATGCCTTAGTAAGTCGTGTCTGGCAAGACTCCACTGCTATGCTATCTGGATGCCTAGGCGAGGCGTCCAGGTACTCTGGACTGAACGGCAACCGAGGATAGGAGCCTGGTCTACTAATTTGTTGAGGCGTCAGCTCTCTGGACGCCCCCAGGGGTAGGTCTGGCGAAGCGCCACTGCTATCTGGATTGCTTGGCGAGGCGTCCTGGTACTCTAAACTGAACGGGCAGGCAGCCGAGGGTAGGCCTAGCGTCCAGGTGCTCTGAACGGGCAGGCAGCCGAGGGTAGGGCCTAAGTGAGGCCTGGATGAGGCATCAGGGGAAGGCCTGAGTGAGGCCCGGATGAGGCGTCAAGCGTGTGAACCGCCTATGATCAACATAAACAAACAACACTCAAATATAAGGATAGGACCGCCTATGGTGGACAGTAAATAAACAACACTCACTCAAACATAATTAAAGAAAAGACATTAGAATAGGACAGAGATTAGAACTTGGATTGTCAATCCAAATGTGGTGCGAGGTAACTCAAACATAAGGATAGGACCGTCTATGGTCGACGTCGACGGTAAATAAACAACACACACTCAAACATAATTAAAGGAAAGACATTAGAACAGTACATACATTAGAACTTGGATTGTCAAATGTGGCACGAGGCAAGGTTATGCCTCCTCAGCCTCACCCTAGGGGTATGCCTCCTAGGCCTGGATGAAGCTTGAGGCCTTTGTACCGCCTATGATCGAAGGTAAACAAACAACACTCAAACATAAAGACATTACAACTTGGATGGTCAAATGAACAAAATAAGTTTAAATATCCTAGTGTTCATGACATTCACGCTTTTCTTTTCGCTGTTAATTATTTTATGTTATTCTAAACTCTCTTTTACTTTTACTTGAGACAGAAACATTGCCCCACCAAGTTTTGCTCAAAAGCCATCTAAGAAACATTAAAAATCACCAAGGTTTGCTCAAAAGCCATCTACGAAACATTAAAAAAAATATAGACTTTATCATCAGTCTGTTATAATAAAAGGTACTTATCATCATTCGTTTTAGAGAGTGAGGGGACTTTTTTACTCCTTTGTTGGGTGTGTGATTTTGGAAAGGGAAGTTATTTTATTAGTTTGTTCTCCATTTTTTTAATGTTTTTTATTATTATGGCAAAGATTGGAAATAGTTTTTACAATTAATACTTATTTTTGTATTTTTCTCATCTTTTTCAAAAAAATTCAAAAATACTTCTCGAAACAAATTGATTCTTTAAAATCCATTTCTTTCATTAATTTTCAACTTCATTTAGATGTGCTTTGTTTAATCATTCTATAAATATATTTTTCTATTTTATTAGATTTTTTATTTTTTTAACACTTTTGTTTACCACCCAAGACTTGCCTAGTTAAAACGGTTGAACTGGTCGATTCACCGGTTAAGCCGATTGAACCACTTCTGGGCCCATGTCCGGTTAACTTTTCCGGTTCTATTTTTTCTACACTGCTTTATAATGCAAAAACAATAGCGTTTTTTTTACCATTAGTGAGAGGTAGAATAGATGTTTTTATAAGACGATATACCATTTTATTTATAAGAAAATAATTAATGACCTATATTGGTGGTACACCTAATGGGAACGATGTCACATATATGTGGATGATGTCATTCCCCAATATACAGTAAATACTTTCATTTCTACCGAAAGCACTTTCATTTCTACCAAAGATTTCTAGTTTATCCCTAATTAATTGATTAAATACCCTTAAACAAGAAATCGTGGAATGAGGGTGTCACGTATCCAAAACTGGAGTGCATATTCATGAGAATAGCCTAACAAAACCATTCAAAAGATTCATAAAAGGAGAGCTTACCTTTATTTTTACATCCGGCAGATTTATCTGCCTTTTAACATGCTATAAGCAAATGTACTTGTTTAGGGATTTGCTAATTAGCAAAGAGCTTTCTTTTATTGAAGGCTTTCTTCCCTCATGGACTTAGATTCTATTAACAAAGTACATGTTTTTAGTGAAATATCAAAAAATATGAAAAAATTATTCACAAAAATAAAATGATCAAAATACCTTTTATATTTTGCCGTCATATTGGTTATATATTTTTTATTTACTTTTAATATATTTTATTATTGTGTGTCGTTAAGAAGTATTGATAACCAAAATTTTAGCTCAATCTAAAATTCATATACACATATATGCTCTCGAAAATGAAATACTACATGTTTAAAAACTTCTAGGCTTATCAAACATAGGATTTCGAAGCCGATCTTTAGATAAGTCAATCACAAGCAAATATTTAAATATCCAAGCAGAAATTTTAGCTTTCACAGCTTCTAGTTGCCAAAGGCACCCTTATGGATTATCAATGATAAAAGTTTAATGGATGACTTGTAAAGTTCCCAATGATCAAAGTTTAATGGATGACTTGTGAGGTTCCCATTAACCAAGTCGCTTGATTTCTCACCATGGTTGAGCGATCGATTTTTCAACCAAAGATTGAATGTTTCATTAATCACTTTATGCAACACCACTAAATATTGCTAAAAGATGCAGCTTCATCGCCGCAAACCCTTATAATGGCCTAAAACTCTAGTTTTACTTTTAATTATAACATTTAAAGCTCCAAAAGTTTTATAGTTTTGAGTACACCTATCATCATCATCCGGTTTTTATCCCAATTATTTTGTGTCTGATAAATGAATTTTGTTCCACCATTCCGTTTTATCAATGACTATACCCTCAATCAAACTTACACCTCAATCATAATCTTCTCTCTACTTCCATTTATGCTTTTTTAGGTCTTCCCCTACTTTGAGGGGAAACTATAAATACTTAAAATTTTTAAAATATGCATTATTTTTAGGGCAAAGTTTATATAGAGCAGAGGCTCTAAACAATCAAATTTGAGCCTACATCAAAAATTTCACTAGAAGATGTTGTTTTGATGCCCAAATATCCTAAGATTGATCATCTCGACATCAAGATGCATGGAAATGAGAAAAAAAATGGATATCAAGTTTTGAAAATAGTGTATTTTGTAATGCATTTTTGGACAGTCAATTTTCATGATTTTCAAG